GACGGGCTGGGCGACTGGGAGGACGGGAGGCTGGGCGACCAGTTAGGGCTTGGATAAAAGCAACTGGGAGAACGGGCTGGGTGACCAGTTAGGGCTTGAATAAAAGCGACTGGGAGGACGGGCTGGGCGACCAGGAGAACGGGCTGGGAGGACGGGCTGGGCGACCGGGAGAGGGGGTGGAGGTGGAGACAAGGGAAGCCGCCGGAGCGCCCAGCCAGCATGGGCAAGGCGCGGCGCTTTCCTCCCGACCGGGAGGACGGGCTGGGCGACCAGGAGGATGCCCTGGGAGGACGGGCTGGGCGACCGGGAGAGGGGGCGGTGGTGGAGAAAGGGGCAGCCGCCGGGCAGCTCAAGACCAGCAACCGGCACCAACCAAGGGGGCTGCCGGATACTGACTGGGAGAGGGGGTGATCGGGAGAGGGGGCAGAGGTGCAGGCAGGGCAGCTGCTGGTGTGCCCAGCCAGCATGGGCAAGGCGCGGCGCTTTCCTCCCGACCGGGAGGACGGGCTGGGAGGACACCCTGGGCGACCGGGAAAGGGGACGGTGGTGGAGAAAGGGGCAGCCGCTGGCTCGCCCAGCCAGCATGGGCAAGGCATGGCGCTTTCCTCCCGACCGGGAGGACGGGCTGGGCGACCGGGAGGACGCCCTGGGAGGACGGGCTGGGCGACCGGGAGGACGCGCTGGGAGGACGGGCTGGGCGACCGAGATGACGCGCTGGGAGGACGCGCTGGGCGAACGGGAGAGGGGGCGGAGGTGGAGACAGGGGCAGTCGCCGGCGCGCCCAGCCAGCATGGGCAAGGCACGGCGCTTTCCTCCCGACCAGGAGGACGGGCTGGGAGGGCGGGAGGACGGGCTGGGAGGACGGGCTAGGAGGACGGGCTGGGAGGACAGGAGGACGGGCTGGGCGACAAGTTAGGGCTTGGATAAAAGCGCTGGGAGGACGGGCTGGGCGACCGGGAGGCAGGCTGGGCGACCGAGAGAGGGGGCGACTAGGAGGAGGAGTGCAAGTTCATCTTCCCCGGGCAGCTCAAGAACAGCCACTGGCACCAAACAAGGGGACTGCCGCATACTGGCTGGGAGCGGTGGCGATCGGGAGAGGGAGCAGAGGTGCAGGTAGGGCAGCCGCCGACACGCCCAGCCAGCATGGGCAAGGCACGGCGCTTTCCTCCCGACCGGGAGGACGGGCTGGGAGGACGGGCTGGGTGACCGGGAGAGGGGGCAGAGGTGGAGACAGGGGCAGTTGCCGGCGCGCCCAGCCAGCATGGGCAAGGCGCGGCGCTTTCCTCCCGACCGGGAGGACGCGCTGAGAGGACGGGCTGGTCTTGAGCTGGTCTTGAGGCTGGGAGGACGGGCTGGTCTTGAGCTGGGAGAATGAGCTGGTCTTGAGGCTCGGAGG